GGAATAATTTCAAAAAAAAAATTATTGATGTTTGACAAAATGTAATAGGTCAGCTCAAATTTGGTTGAAGAATGAAAATGGCTTATTAATTTGTTAAAAGTGAAATCTCTTTGAAAATTTTTTAGAAATCAGATGAGTTCAGTTTTTTGGCAGTCGGTGGAAAAAGGGCGTGGCCTAGACCGATCAAGCCACGCCCCTTCCTGATCGATGTTCCTCGAATATCCGATTCGAGATTTTTTGGGAAAGTCATGAATAAGCTGGTATATATCCATACGAATGTATTAACACTTAACTTTAGTTTTATTTTCGAGATGAAGGAGAGCGCAAACGAAAGCTGCAGGCCGAATGCGGAAGCGCCGCTGTAGTGAACTCTTTCGTAATCAGCACAAATGAAAATATAAATTTAATTCTGTACCTGCCGATTAAACATGTTCCTCAGCTCTCGTGACTCTAAATTCAAGTATCCATAACTCTCATCATCGATATTCAGCAAGATGGCTAACTCTCCTCGAATCTTAAAAAAGGAAGTTAAGTAAAAAAGGGTGAGACTACTCATTGCAAATTGCTTAATATATGGAAAACTAATACGCTAGTGTTTTGCAGTAAATAACTGTAAAATTACCTCAGCAAATGTTGGCCGATCATTAGGATTTGCCTTCCAGCATCTTTTCATCAGAGCATAGCTGAAAAATCAAAATGCGTCAAAAAAGTCATCCCAAACTTAGGCTTCAAAACTTAGAATGGAAACGAACAACGAAGAAGTAAAACATTGTGTTTAGACAGAGTTAAAACTCACATCTCATTTGGACATTTTTCTGGCTGTGGAGGTCGATTTCCCTGTTCAATATGAGCAATCATATCCATTGGTTGTACAGTATTGTAGGGCACATCACCAAGTGAAAATATTTCATAAAGCAAGATCCCAAATGCCCATCTGAAACATTGCACTGCAATTACGGAAACCGTAATGCTTTTTCACTCACACATCTGTTTTCTCAGAGAACTCGTAAAATT